AACTAATTATACATTACTGTATTTTCCATGGATCCGAATTGAACTATGTCTCCCTAATTTATTTTATATATTTTTTTACAATTGTTGCAGATTTTTTTTAAGGGGAATTATTGCAGATTAAAATAAGGAATATAACTAGGGTTTAAACTACTAGTTATTTATGCCATTAGATTAATCTAAGGGTCTCAAAATATCATTTTTGGGTCCTTAAGTGAGCGTGACTGCAATTCAATAACCAAATTTCATAAAAAATTTCGACAAAATCAGCATGCTGTGGTTACCAATTTTGGAACATACAATAGCCAAACCAAAAAAAATAAAATAAAAATAGAAAGTGGTGTAGTCATTACCAATTTTGTGCTGGAAGGGGAGGCTAATAAAAAGTTTAAAAAAAAAAAAAAAAAAAAAAGTGATGCGAACTCACATTGAAATGCAGAGGGGGGGTCGTCTTTTTTCTCTTTCTGGGTCGAACTTCATCACCTACATCATCTAATTCATCTTCATCTCCATTTTCATCATCATCACCGTCCTCTGGCATTGAGCAAAAACCAAAACCATCCTTCGGCATACGAGACAGGTCGGCCCCAAAGCTTTTGAAGAGCCCTCTGCCGCCTCTGTAGGAAACATTAATAATTCGATGAAGAGCCCTCTTTCGCTTCGTGTGAGCAGGTAATGGAATATAGCGCAGCTCCACATGACCTGCCCCTGTCAATCCTTCTGACACTGAGTAACCATCACCAGGAAATCCCAAGACTCCATCGATCAAATTCGAAAGTGACAATCCAGGAAAGCACGGCCTAATAAATGATTCCGTAGGTTCACAAACAGTACACAAAACCATGTTCTCCAATAAGGAAGTCCAAGGTATTTCAATCGGAAAGTCCAACAAATGATCGTTATTATTTGGAAGAAGTACACCTACGTCCTTGCGAAAACTGAACGACTCTGGAACTTCACTGCCTGGAAGTAAAACATTAATAAAATGTCCGGTATTGACTGCTGGCTGTAACACAACACAAGACAAGAGAGGCATATATTAATTAGTCATGTACGTGCATAGTATAGCATTAACAATACATGTAATGTATGCGTATTATATAGAAATTAAGAGAAAAAAATATATACGTCACCTGCTTCACTAAAATATTTGCCATCTTTGCAGCGTCCAACCCTATATTATCGCATAGCTTATGGCAGTTGGACAAATTCATGTAATCGATATGTTGCATGTCTCCGTCTTCCAATATCTTTGATAATGTTGAAAATCTTTCCAGTGATATGCACTCAGCCATATTGATACTTTCTATAGACGCTGGAAGTTGTCCTAGAATTTCTACAAGCTTCTTGCAACCACTCAAATCAAGCCACTGCAAGTTGACACATTTGCTAATGCACACAGGAAGACTGACAAAATTGCTATTGGATAGATTAATTATTGTTAAGTTGGACCATAAACTTAACAAGTCGCCATCGCGTGGACTACTTGCGTTGGATCGAACCTCCAAAGGAAGTGATTCTACACTCGATAAAACTTCAGAGATCAATTTATTTGGAAATGTGACAAGTTTCGGGCGTCGATTGAGCTTTTGCAACCCATAAATAATTTGTGGCAGATTTGCAAGGTTTTCACATCCTTCTAAATCTAAAATTTCAAGCTCAGTGAGATCTTTAATTGATGAAGGCAACTCTTCTATTGCAGTTCCTTTTAAAGATAACGCTTCAAGTGCAGTTAGATGTCCAATTGATGCAGACAACTCTTTTATAGCAGTTCTCCCAAGGTCCAATTCAATTAAGGATTCCATTTTGTCCACAATTTCTGGGAAACTCTCCAACTTTTTGCAATTGCTAAGATCCAACCATTCCAGAGATTTCCACCAGACTTTATTTGGAAACTTGGTGAGTTCACGGCAGCCATAAAAATCCAATACTTGAAGTTTATCGAGATATCCAACAGATGGATGAACCTCAACTAAACTTTCACAATAACTCGCATTCAAGTACCTTAAGTTTGGGTTGCCGGATAGGTCGGGGATTTCAGTTAGGAATTTAGACCACTCTAAATTCAAAGATGTCAACTTTGTGAAATGCTGTGAAACCAAAAAAGAATTGAAAAAATAATAATAATCAAATGGATAGCATTAAAGAAATTTACAACATACATCAGTTAATAAACGAGAACTCTTAAAGTACCTTCAATCCCTCCCGTAGTTGTTTGATGTGGCTGCAAGGCAGATTGAGCACAACTAGTCCCTTTGGACGAAAATTAGGTGGAAAAGATTGGAGTGGACATCTATGCCAATCAAGCACTCTCAACATGCTTGGGAGATAACCAATGTTTCCAGAAAGACATACGTTATAATTCATGAAAATTTTAAGATTTTTCATCTTTGAGAAGCAGTCAACATCCAAGAATATCTCATAATCCATTTCAGGGGAATTTAACATAATGCCTGTGATTTTTTCTGTTCCCTAACATAAAAAAGAAAAGGGACCATTGTTACAAAGTATTTAATAAAAAACATGCACGAGTTTCAAATTTACTTTTTTTTTTTCAAATAAAAATAAAAATAATTATTATTATTATACTTACAGTATCATTAGTCAAAACATGCTCGATATCTTCATGAGACCACAATCTGCTACGACCTCCAGGTTCATCGGGCGACTCTTGCTGAACTATGTCCTTACCCATCGCTTCTAGTAAGTCATGCATCCAAATATAATCTCCTTCAACACTTATGAGTGCCTTTTCCATGAGTACTTCAATGCTATACCTAGCTCTGGGGTCACAAGCTACAACTATTTTTGTCAAACGCATTCTACTTTTACCCTTAAAGAAACATGCAATGTCAAGGAAAACCTGTTGTACGCTATGATCCAATGCATTGTAACTTATTTTGAGAACATTTTGAATTTTCGGGCTTTTGAAACCATGTAATGCAGCTTCCCAAATATCAATACTTCCACCATATAGACAAGAACCTAGAACTTTCAAAGCCAAAGGAAGGCCTTGAGCATAGCGTAGTGCACGTTCTGCAAGTTTCACATAATCACCCAAAGGAGGCCCACTTCTTTTGAAGGCATGACAGCAGAAGAGCTCAAGAGCTTTATAATATTCTAAAATCTTGACCTCGTGTATTAAATTAACATCATGAGCAGTTAACAGTTGCTTATTCCTTGTTGTTATGATAATTCTACTGCCTGCACCAAACCAATCACATGCCCCAACTAACTTGTGTAACTGTTCCATGTCATCCACGTCATCAAGAACCAAGAGAATCTTTCTACCACTCAACCTTTCCCGTATCATAGTGGCTCCTATATGAACGTTGGGCACCTCAAAAAAATTTCCCCTTAAAATGTCAGAAAGAAGATTCTCTTGTAGTTTGGCTAAACCTCCTCTCTGCCACATTGCACGTTCTCTAACGTTTTCCAGAAAACAACTACCTTCAAATTCATGGACAATTGAATTATAAACAGCTTTAGCAATTGTGGTCTTACCAATTCCACCAGTTCCCCATATCCCTACCATACGAACATCTTTTTCCCCCAAATCTAAAAGCTTAGTTATATCTTCTACAGGATGGTGCATTCCAACTGGATACTCTGTCACATATAAATATGTACGGTCTATTACTTCCCGTGAAATGCGTTGAACGATTTTATGAATCAGTTCAGCTTCAGATCTATGTCTGCCAATTTAAAAGCATATGAAACATTTAGTCACATGGCATTTTTGAATGAAAAGTAATTTAGAACGGGCAATAAAGGAACATAATACACACACAAAAGAAGAGAATTTAGATCAACAATGAATAAATTAACTCTTATGATTTATTTTCTTTTTTTGTCACATCTTATAATTTATTTATTTGACTGAAAAATAAAAAAGAATAAAAGAAAAGAGAAAGCATTAATTATGTAAGGATAAGGGGGGTGGAAATTTACTCATCGGACAGAGTGAACCCCGCCAATTTTCCTGCTTGTGAAAGAGCTTCCTTCCATCTGTTGATCTTCTCCACATTATTGCAGTCCATGTTAGCCAGTGCATCCCCGAAGCTTCCTCTATGATTCCGTATATCTGACGGATTCACCTTGTAAAAAACTGGCATGACCAGTTGTTGATTTGATTCTTTGCAGTCAAGAATCTTAACAAGTTCATCCAAACACGACTTTGAAGAGGCATAGTTTTTAGAGAACACAACGACAGAAATCCTTGATTCTTCAATTGCTGTGAGAAGCGCGCTTGATGTTTCTTCTCCTCTTCTGAGCTCATCATCATCCCTGAAGGTATTAATGCCTTGTTGACATAAAGCGCTATACAAATGGTCTGTGAAGTTGTGGCGCGTGTCTTCGCCTCTGAAGCACAGAAAGACATGGTATTTCCATGATTTGGTGAAAGGAGCAGAAGAAGAAGAGGCTCCTCGGTTGGCCATGGAAGCCAACATAATTGTTTCAGTGTTTGCTTCTCTCTGGATTCGCTAAGCCAAAAATGAGCCTTTTTTACTTGAAGAGTTTGGATGTGAGCAAATGTGAAAGGGCAATGTGTATTCATGAAATTGTGAGGAAGTGTCAAACTTCCTGTCTTCAATTATTGACGCGTTTTCGCGTGATGAATTGCACTTCCCTGACACGACCTGTCCCTCTTGTATATACCCCCAAAAAAAAAAGGAGTTAGAATACAATTATTTTCCACTTGTCATGTTTTTAAAGTTTCTATACGCAACTAATGAAAATTCTAACGATAAGCTAACGCTGGAATCAGATTGCCAAAAAAATTAGGATTATGTAATCGTTAAAATTGAAAGTGCAGAGGTGCCTTGGGGTATAACTTCAGGGTACCAAGCTAAAATTAACCAATTTTTAATATGTTTTAACTGAGAATATTTCAAAGAACGTACAAACCCCAAAAAAACATTGAAGGAATATATATTTAGTTGAGAAAACATAATGGTCAAGTTAATACTATAAAATTCTAGAACAAGGGTTTAAAACTAAATCAATCCGATTTGAGACCCAACTGCTGCAACCCGAAAACACACGCACACAGGGGAATGCACTGAAAATCTAGAGCGTTTGCAGCAAACTGTAGCATTCCATTTTGGCATACATTCCGAAATCCTCTCTCACAATCATTTTTTTGAATAGAGTCTCATAATCATCCAGGTACCAAAAATTACAAAAACTGTCAATGATTAGGCCTACATAGTAAAAATGTCAACTCTATGGAAAAGCATACACAACCCATGAATGCAACTTGTCTGGCAGACACTTGATACTCTGTTGCATCTTATATAGGCTGGATCTTGAAGTGGAGAGAGATGAGTGAGAACACAAAGCACTTCAGATCCTGCAATCAAATACAAGCATAATTGAGAAACAGCTTTAGGTGAAAAAAACTCATGCTGAGTCACGGACAGACATAAACAATAAATCACGTCAAAATAAAACTCGTATAAGAGGGTAAAACACTAGGACGTCTCGACTCATAAATGGAATACTTAAGTGGACAGACTAGCATAATTTGTTCTCTCTTTCATAAGTGAAGAAGAATCCATTGAATAGTAGAAACAAATTTCGACCAAAGAAGCTCACACTACGCAGCAATTTACACGTTGAGTCAGAACACCAGCACTGACAAGTAAGAGCTAACAACCATCGATCCCTACGTATACAGTATGAATCCAGAAAAGGAAAGGCAATCTTTATACCATAAAATGAAAGTGCAAATCAACTGACCTGAACAAGATAATAAAAGATGCGAAGACCTTCAGGATCTTTACTGCTCTGGACATCAACAAGGGATCCAATCTTTGAAGTAGTAAAGGAGATATGCTCATTCCCCATTACAATTTCAAGCTCCTGCCGCCCAACACGGTCAGGTTCTGGCCAGTTGACATCATCTTCCTTCAAGATCTAAAGATAGGCAAAAATGCAACCAATTTAGGAAACCAGGACGACGACACTCCACTAACCAAATTCTGGGAAGAATATATCAATCAATTTGCACGAACAGTCAACATGAAGGGTAGCAATCCTACAATTAGTTTGACCAGAGTCTGATAAACGATTTTCACTGTGTAATTTCTTTTTGGTAAGCACTTCCACTGTTCAGTAAAGACACAATTACTGGGCATTTGTTTTCCATCATTTCATAAGACATAGCTAATGCCACGGTGCCACCCAACTCTTTAGAGGTGATTTGCTTGATCTTGATTCCCAAAATCCAATTGGTGTTAACTTTAACTAAAACACAAGAAGACAATTCAGATTGCTTGCAAGATTCCAGAGAAACCCAAACTACAGAAATGTTAATTCAATAAAATCAATTGACAACGGTCATAAACAACATTAGGAAACCAGAAGCTCACAGTTATTAACTTAATACAATTGTTTTCCATGGTATCACCTGTAAACAGGAAACTTATGAAGTTTATTCTCTCTAATATTTGCCTCCTTTGTGTCAGCAACCAGACTATTTGTAAACAAACGGGCTCTGAGCTCTGAAGAACTATAGAGAAAATTTTCGATTAAAAGAATTGCAGAGAAGTGTGACTAATCTATGTTTTGGTGCCTTTGGCTAGAGATAAAAGCAAAGCGCATTCTTCAACACAGTTCAGGTTTCACCAGTCTACTTGTTTGGTGCAAAAAGTAGAGGAGAATAAGACTTTCTGCTGCCCTATTTTAGATTTTTATGTACGCTTATAGTAGAAATGGGATGTACCCCATGCCACCTTTTGAACATAACTCTCTTCATTATCCAGACAAAAGAAAAAATATGGTGAGAGGAGCAAAATCATATCTTATCTCGTAACAATACAGAAAAGACATTCATAATCTCAAAAAGGAGTTCTTCCCATCATCAGGTAAAGCAGGGTGACTCCAGCTGACCAGACATCAGCCTTAGGACCTTGATGCATTCTCATTAGGTAATATCACATTAAAACAGATCTAAAGCAATTATATATACTGTCGTTGCTCTTAGTTTGGTTATAACTCAAATTGACTAACAAATCGGTTGTATAAATAGGGCATACTGATAGAAAATATCTGTTGAAGAACAAGTGAAAAACTCATATTAATGCTCTAAAGGAACATGAGGATGAAACGAGTGCAATATCAGAAAACTATCTAAGAAATACGGATGAAGGCAAAACCTCATCTTTATGAGAATCATCTGTTCGCTTAGAATCTATTGTTGCCCCTGAACTGATATCTACAAGATCACCTCTCACAAACTTTTTTTCTCTGTTTAATGGAGCAGATTTATGTGGAGGGAGACGGACACGATCAAAGGACACATGACGACTTGATTTTGGTTTACCTTAGAAACGTGTAAATCCGTCAGTTAGATAAAAGTCCAGTTTTTCTTGTTTTTATTGCTAGCTTAACAAAGTTTCTTGAAAACTGCAGTCGGAGACATCCATTTCATTTGGCACAGCAGGTATCCTGAACATGAAGACAAACGTTCCTTATTCATTTTCACACACACACACACCACGTAGCCTTTAAAATGAACAGACCAAACTCATATTTGCCTTACGGGATAAGCACAACAGATCCAGATGTTTTCCTATTCTCAAGGTCTTCGTGTGCCTGTGCTGCTTGAGACAATGGGTAGGTGTGATTTACTCGAACCCGCAATACACCTGATTGAACATTACCAAATACCTCTCCCGCCATCCCTAGCAATTCGTCTCGAGTTGCAGCGTAATTAAAGAGGCTAGGCCTAGTCAAGAACAGTGACTTCACTGCAATGGCTGACAATGGAACCGGATCTGGCGCACCTGATGACTGCCCAAAACTCACCATGTATCCACGAGTCTTCAAGCATGCCAGTGATCCCTGAATACAACAATAACTCCCAATTAAGGATTCTTGGTCCAAAACACAAATTAGCAAAAGACTGCCTACCCAGAACTCATTATCTACCAGATTATGTTGATCTGGGAGACCAGTTGGGCTAGCAACATTTGAATAAATCACGACACAACACACTTATTTGAGGGTGTCTTTTCTTCTTCTCTTTTAATTACTGATTACCAACCGTTTGCACTACCACAATCACAATGTAACTAACTTTAGGGTCTATTAGGGAAGAGAGATTTCAGGTCTAAGAATTTAGTAAATAAAATATAGCTAGATTGACTGATCCGACATAAAAGCCTTTTGTCAAAATCCAACTCCTAACTTTAAAGCATTCCATCTAAATGGACCCCCTCATCATTTAAAAAATTCATAAACCTGGCTCAAATTAAAAAATATCTGGTTTCATAGGCCTGGTCCAGCATTGAGAAACTTCAGCACCAAGTTAAGGTGAAGCCTACTCAAATGTACTCATGCAGAATTTGAACATGGTATGATCTCTCCCTAAACTCCCTTGATTGTGTTTTTGTTCATTTGTAGAAAAAAGGGAGAAGAAAAGTATAGCTTACCTCAAAAGTATCCTTCCCTACAGAATCATAAACAACCTCGACCCCATTGTCAGATGTTATTTCTTTCACTCGAGCAACAAAGTCCTCTTCCTTAGAGATTATGACATGGTGACATCCATCCTCCTTGGCTTGAGCTGCCTTCTCTTTAGTAGATACAGTTCCAATGACAGTGGCACCAAGGGCATTAGCCCACTGGCATAAAAGGGATCCAACTCCACCAGCTGCTGCATGGACAAGGACTGCGTGTCCAGGTTCAACCTGTATAACAACACTCAAGTCAGACCTAATAACAAAAGCAACATGAGTTTCAAATTTTTGAAACATATATAACATTATGAAAGAGGATGGGCTATGTTAAGCATGCAATTGTAGAATGAACCCAAATTAAGATTGAAGTACTTAGTTGATTACACGTTGCTGGTTTACAATAGAGCTTGTTTTTTTAGGTGTACTATCTTGATTGTTTGGACATTTTACTCATTGAATTCATACTTAGTTGTTATGTTTTTTTTTAAAAATTTCCACAGATTGTCCGGTGGAACGGAATCAACAAGTGCGCCACAAATGAAAAAGTGAAAGAGAACAAGAATGGTAGTTTTATCTTACATCAGATAATGATAGGACATGTTTTTAAAATTTATAGTCTCAAAGGAACAAATATAAATAGGAAGGGAGAAAGAGAGCTCCTCAACTCCCATGAGTGCTCATGATTAACAAATGAAAAAGACTAACTCAAACACAACTGAGCATACTTTTTCAAAACAGGGGCAATTCTGCCCAAAAAGTTTTTAATGACAACAATAAAAATCAAAACAGTATTAACAGTAATGAATATTCTCCTTGACAGGAAAACTCATAGGTGCATGCTAATAGCTCTATAAAAATGTTTTGCAATGCCGCACGCATATTCAATGAATACTAAAACTAGCATGGCCTAAAATATCACAACCAGGATGTCGTTATCTTGTGTTTTGTAATTCAAACTATCTTCATTTACAGACTTAATGTGTGGTTAATGACTTCCTGAAATTCCAGATGCTGCTGCATAAATATAAAGCTACCTTGAAACAGCTGCGTAGTAGAAACTGAGCTGTCATACCCTTGAGCAAGAGGGATGCAGCAACAGTAGGATCAATGGAAGGAGGAACAGGCACAACTCTGTCTGCAGGAAGGATCTGCTCTTCCGCATATGAGCCCATTGGCTGACCAGCATAGGCTACAAGATCTCCAACTTGCCTGCCTGTTAGTCCTGGTCCCACAGCTGTCACAACTCCACAAGCCTCACCGCCTGAAATCAGTTTTGATTTGTAAATAACTTGTGCAAATCCATTATCAAAGCCCAAACAAGTTTTAGATAACAAATCTAACAATGGAAATCGTTCTCTGATGTCATGCTCTGCATTCTTGTATTAGGTTCACCCCAAGCGTTCCTAACCATCTTTCAAAAAATATACTCTCATGGTAAAGGTTTATTATAGAAAACTGTGAAGAAAAACCGAAGTTTTTTAAAAGAACATGAGGTCAAAAATTGGCTAGAAGTCAATCTTGGTTGAACTGTATCTTCATAATCTTAGAAATGTAGCAAAACCTGGGGGGTAGGGAATCGTAGCAGCCTTATAAACGCCTTTGCGGAAGTATACATCAATGAAATTAAGCCCAATGGCCTTGTTCTTCACACGAACCTCTCCCTCCTTTGGCTCTCCTACTTCAACATCTTCCCATTTCAAGACCTAACACCATCACATGACAAAAATAAGTAAAATGAGGGTGAAAATAAAGGAATAATGGCATTTAGTTGACAAATATGGGAGGTCAAAGACAACAAAGATAAATTTCCTTTAAGCAAAACTAGACATAAACTGATACTGCCTTACCCAAAAAAAAGTAATGGATACTGAATAATCAGTGTCAAAAACTATATATTGTTTTCTGATCTACTGGCCAACTTATGTGAAGGATTATTTATGAAGACAGTTGATACACTATACACAAACTGCGAATTGAATTCAGCAATCTCAAATACTTTAACAATCATAAAAATAAAGACAAGTAACCACTGACCAGTAATTATACACAAGTGAGTTTTGATAATCTGATAAAAATAAAAGGCACAACCCAGCAGCCGGCCAATTCAAACATAAAAGCATATGTATGGAAACACAGAGAGAGAGAGAGAGAGAGAGAGAGACCTCAGGTCCACCAAGCTCATGGACTCGAATGGCTTTGACCATCTTTGCCGGTGGTGGTGATGCTGATTCAGTGGCAAGTGCTCTAACTACTGATTTCTGGGTCCCAAGTGTAAAATGTAAACACTTGCTCAAAATCTGTGAAAAATGTCTTGAATTTGGAGTGCAGTGGTATGAAGGAAACAGCAATTGTGTTGACCAAGGGTTCTGAAGCAGACAGCAATTCTGCCTAAGTTTTATGTGCAACAGAAAGTCAAAATTTGCCCAAAACAACAAAACAATATTAACCAACTCTCTCTCCTGCCTCTGGGGTGGGAGTAGAGTAGAGTAGGGGACCACTCCATATGAAAGGAGCACGTGGCCTCCAAGGTATCCAACGGTTCTCATTGAAAATTCCTATGGTTCCCTACGCTCACCCAAAATGCGCGTCTGAAGCGACTTGCGTCCATGCAGAATCGGCTTGTATCAGCTCAAGGGCAAAATGGTCCTGAGCAATTTTGTAATAAAAAATTTAAAAATGAGAAAAAATTTTTAAATGAACAAAAATGCGAGAAAACATATATTCCTATCCGTGCAAAATAATATTTTGTTATTTTCTGTTATGCCGTTTTGGTCTATATATATAGTGCTTGCGGGGAATAGTGTGTGTTGTGTGTGTTTAGGTTGAAGAGAGAGAAAGAGAGGGAGAGAGAGGGTGATGAGTGTACGCGGGTTTATATGTAGGTGGTGATTCTGGGTCTTTCTCATTTCTCAGAAGATGATGAAGTACTTGGAAAAGAGGCAAGAGCAAAATAAGGCACCAACCCCTTGTTTGCCCATATATACTCTTACTACACTTGTAAATTTAGAGGATAAATCTATTAGATATCAATTACCTTTGAGGCATAACCATGGAAAGGGCCACGACCCGATTTGAAAATAAGAAATATTCACAAATCATGATGTGAGTCATACCATAGTTATAAGAATAAAATCTTACAACCATGATATGATGAGAAATAGAGCCACAAATAATAAAAATTTACTTAACAACACAAAATCAGAGTCACAGTAGGTTGTAGTTAAATACACACTAAGATCTTTATCAAACGGTTGACTACTTACAAACATTAATTACACAAATTAACAACAAAAGCCTAGCAGCTTAGTTGAAACCCACTTCCTCAAACTTCGTCTTGAATCATACACGATCTATTAGGGTATGAGCATTCTAATGCCTAGTATAGTAACGTTAAATCTCTCAAGGTCAGCTATCACAGTTAATCAAAGTGTCATGCAACCGACAGCACAAGATATATAAATTATGTAATCATACCAGATAAATAAATTTTGCACATGCGGTGATGCCATGAACTCACTCCCTTCTAATCCCACTAATTCATACCTTAGGGTTCCGAATACCCTAAAATATGAACTAGCGCCCATCCATCCCTTAACCCATTTTTCTTTTGTTTATTAATTTCTCAACTTTCACTTTTTATTAGAGGCTCTGCTTCCATCACCTCAATATATTCAAGTCCTACTCCCGTCACCTGAATATATTCCACTTTTTTTTGTTTTTTTACTCAGATGTATCTATTGCCTTCTCCCATCCCTTAGATATATCTCAAATGACATACATACACACAGACCCAACACACGACCATAATTATGATGCATATGTAATGCAACTCAAACATTATCAATCTGTGCAAAATAGTAATATAGATAATAACAAAAATATTTCAAGTTTAATCCCATGAATAATAATATTCATCTAACGTCAAATATTATCCATAGAGCAATATCAATAATACTATTCACCCAACATCATATAATATTCATTAAATAATAACAATCGTATTCACCTAACATCAAATAATATTCACTAAGCAAAAATTTATATGGTGTGGCAGTTGTGGGCAGAGTATATCTGGGCAAACAAGGGCTCACAAAATTCACGTATTGTACACATAATTCTCACATACTATTGAATACAAATAATATGTATTTTTAAAAATGGTATAGCGGCATGGCTATACTCAGTTTTTCCCTAATTGTCTTTAAAAATCGTATAGCCGGGTAGCTATACTCCTTTTTTTAAAATTTTAAAACAAAAGTAGTATAACCGCACGGCTGTTCTGGTTTGACACGTGGCACATATGCGCTGGGCGTGTCTTTATATACGTATATAAATAGTATCGCCGCCCGGCTGTACTAGATTCCTTTTTATTTTTATTTTTGCAAATCGTATAGCCGTGCGGCTATACTCCTTCCCCTTTTAAAAATAGTATAGCTGCCAGGCGTTACTAGTATAGCCGCGCTATACTATTTATTTAAAAAAAACCCCGGCCAGTGCTTGAAACGTATTTTTGTCCGAAGAGTATTGCCTGATGGCTATACTCTATAAATAGAATATTTCAAGGGTCTAGCCGCACGGTTGTACTCTAAATAGAATTTTTTTAAGGTATGGCCCGTACGGCCGTGCGGCTATACCCAGTGAAATGAGTTTCTCTTTTTTAATTACTTTAATTAGTAGTTATGTTATAATTATTATTTACTTAGTGAATAATTAGTATTTTTATATTTATTTTTATTCAATAAAATGTGAGTATTTTGTGTATAATACTTGAATTTTGTGTGTATTATTGAAAATTTTGTGAAAAACAAGCGTATTAACATTGAATGTTTGAGGAGAACCAAAGAGTTATGTCCAAGAGGAACACCCAAAATGCAGCAAAAACTTACGAAGGAAGTTAAAAAGTTAATAAACTCTCACATAATAAGAATATTAAACATGAAAAATGCGTATGTACAAGTACAATACGAATATTAAACCCGAAAATGCTAAATTCAATATACAAAAAAAGATCACATTATATATGTAAAGAGTATAGCCGCACGGCGGTACTATTCATAAAAAAGAATTTAAAAAAAGAGGACCTCAGTAAAGCCGCCCGGCTATACAATGTTTTATATAAAAAATCAAGGTATAGCCGGGCGGCTATACTATTATATATACTGTTATTGCTCTTAGTTTGGTTATAACTCAAATTGACTAGCAAATCGGTTGTAAAGGTAGGGTCTGATTGCTATACTTATAGAAAATCTGTTGAAGAACAAGAGAAACACTCATATTTATGCTCTAGAGGAACATGAGGATGAAACGAGTGCAATATCAGAAAACTATCAAAAGAAATAAGGATGAAGGCAAAACCTCATCTTTATGAGAATCATCTGTTCGGTTAAAATCTATTGTTGCCCCTAAACTGATATCTACAAGATCACCTCTCACAAACTTTTTTTCTCTGTTTAATAGAGCAGATTTAGGTGGAGGGAGACGGACATGATCAAAGGACACATGACGACTTGATTTTGGTTTACCTGAGAAATGTGTAAATCCGTCAGTTAGTCGGATAAAATTGATTTTAAACACATAACATAATGTGTGTAGTACACCAAACAAGTGAGAAAATTAAACAGAAAGTGGTAAATCATTTTTTCTTTTTAACTTTGTTTTTTACATAGAATATAGATAATTCGGGTTCCAGGCATGTATGGGGTGGTGGGGGAAGGAAGCACACCGAAACAATTGGGAAACATGGTCAGTGACTCAGTCAACAGTCAATGTTTACGCCATTGCTTTGCTCTTCCCAGACCAGAGTAATCACTATCGCAACGAGATAGGATGCAGGCAGTACATTTTAAAAGCTAAATAATAGCTGAGAATTAAAAGACCAACTTACTTCCAATTGTGTACTTTTGCTGTAAATCCTGCGAAACAAGAAAATAGAGATTGAGCATGATCATTTTATTTCAATGAAAAGGAAAGCAGAAAAAAAGTTTGCTACAGCTGGGAAGCATGAGGATCCTAACCATGGCAAGGTTGAAATCAATGAGACAGCCTTTGTTTAGCTTACGAGAGAAGAGGAAGTTTCCAGGCTTAACATCTCTGTGCATCACACCCTGTAACCATAAATTTAAAATTGAGTATTCTGCAAAAAAATTACATGAGCCTTCAATATATGTACAACAACTGTAGTGATCTTATCTGCTTATGCAAGCAGGCAAGGGCTCTGAACATGCAATAGCCATACCACCGGAGCTTGTATGGATCTATTTCTTTCTTCAATACCTAGCAGTTAAGATGAAACTAGAATAAGAGCGAAGAAAGAGATGATAGTTCTGCTAAACACTAGAGCTAAATGAGGTTATAATTCGATCACAACTTATCAATATAGAGGTATAAGGAAAATCTGATACAAAATTCTGTAGAATGGAACCTATTTCAAATTTTGTCCAAAGAGTATACTATTTCAACAAATAGAATTTTTTAAATTACTTTCAATAAAATGTTTTAATTATTATTTACTTAATATTTAATACTTTAATATTTATTCAATAAAGTGTGAGTATTTTGTGTATAAGACGTGAATTTTGTGTGTATTATTGAAAAATTTATAAAAAACAAGTGTATTAAACATGAAAAATATGTACGTTTGTGTACAATACGAGTATTAAAAGCGGGTAATAACTCTGGAAAAGTAGAAACTCAAAAAAGGACAATAGAGACTCAAGTAATGGCCTAATAGTAATGAATAATGCTCTAAGCCACTCTAATCGATAAACAAAAATCGAGGAAAAACAAAAAAAAAAGGTGAAAAAATGCGGTCGGCTTACCGACAGACATAAACAGCGTTAGGTGAAAAAGCCTTAGGTGAAAAAAACTCATGCTGAGTCACTGGCAGACATAAACAATAAATCACGTCAAAATAAAACTTGTATCAGAGGGTAACACACTAGGGCGTCTCGACTCATAAATGGGCGCAGGATAAGAACATTTGCACTGCCCGCTGATGGCAACTGACTTTTCATTTTTCTTTGACATCTTCAAAGTAATGCATCACAGTATAGTATACCACTCTGGTTGAATTTCAAAATGATATTAAGTGGTGCCCATATTAATTTCAATATGGAATGTTTTGCCCCGTTTCAAAAAATTCATGCACACAAATAGTTGGGTCATAAATGCAATGACTAAGGGTCCTTTCCACCATTTTTCACAGCCCATATACAACCTAGACACTTAGTAAAACATTATTCCCACAAATTGGCAGGAGGATCTCCAACGAAGTGGTAACTTCTAACTGGTTTCCCCTTTCATAGAAGTTGAAAACTTCAGTAAAGAAAGGTAATTCTGAGGTTTTAGTTTGACACCTTCGGTAATTCAACGAATGGAGTACTTTTCTCTCTTTTGAAAAGTAACCCTATGATATAAGCTTTTTTAGAAATTGGCCAAATGCCATATGTACTGAATTTAACATTTTACAAAAATGACAATTCTTGGTATAAAAAAAACGACACTGGCCCAAGAGTATTCCAATGAACTAATGATTATTTCATGAACGGTTCAAATTTAGAATCTTGTTGAGAGCAATTTTATATTTCTGAAGTAGTGTAGTTATAAATACTGTTAATCATTGCCATTCATAGTGCAGTCATAATCGAGTTTTCCGAAAAGGTCTTAACAGTTTGTACTAAACTAGTAAAGTCTTTAATTGAAAAGGAAATGTAGGATCTGAGGCCTCAAATGGGGCCGGTTTCTTGACATCTAAGCATTTAAAATCGGAATTGTACCAGCTCAGCTTCAAATTATACTTCTAAGAAAACTGAGTTTCAAAGTTTAAGAATATTACAAGCGATTGTGTCATACTGATAAAGATTTCAAGGTTATGAAAAGAATAAGACTACATGTCATGTGCAACTGAATTGAACATATTGTAGTTCAACTAATTGCTGCTCAAACTCAGTTCAGCACAATAAACTAAAGCTTTTGAAACACATCACCTTCCACTAACAATTTATAAACAAGGAAAAACAGTTTGGATCTATCAAAACTTGGTGAATTGAGGTAAAAAAATTCAACTTGTAAAAATGAGCATAATCAAATGGCAAAGCTGGTCTCAGAGCTATCAAGCTAGCTGAGCATAGTATTCATCTCTACCAAAAGAGAGAAGTGCATAACTGGTGAGATATAATCATAAGCCTGCCGCATATTGTGACTAAAAAAAATACAAGGTTGTGACTAATCCCTTTTCATCAATTTGTTATTTGGACTAATAATCATTTCCTAATGAAGTGGGAAAGCAAGCCATGATGTATAAACATACGGCGTATTTACAGATAAAAATTTACCTGCAAAAGCCGCCGAGCATAACCACCTTCCATAATTCGAGCAAAAGAAGATGCACATTCATTACCCTCAAAGGCGTTGTAGATATCAGAATAGGCATCAAAATGAAGAATATCCACAGGTCCTCCAAGCTTCTCAGAGACAGCTCTTACTACAGGATAATAAATTGAGTGATCACCACCTAATACTAATGGCTGCAGTGGATCCTGAAAGAACATGGACACAATTAGAGGTGCTTCCATAAAACCTAAAGGTAGACGATATACACATATGTTCACTGGAATGAAAGGTCTCAACCAAATAAGGATAACATTCCCATGAAAGAGTACTCTCAGTCTTTCCAGGAAACAAATTGCGCAAATAAGAACATATGCCAGATCATTTTCCAGACTGAAGTTCAACCGAATATCAACTAAGTTGGTGTAAGATTCAAAATAACTTGACTTCAGGACATTTGTGCTACCCACTGATGGCAACTGACCTTTCATTTCTTTGAGATCTTCAAAGTAATCTATCACAATATAAAATACAATCCTGAGTTTGAATTTCAATATGCTATTAAGTATGCCCATCTTTCTCGGATGGAATGTTTTGCCCAGTTTCAAAAATTTAATGCACCAGTACGAAAGCACAAAAAGTTGGGACTTGTGTTTGCCTGACATATGAAGGTAAACGAGGTACTATGAGAAATCCTTTGCCATAAATGCAATGACTAAGGGTTCTTTCCACCATTTTTCACAACCTTCATGCAACTTAGACACACAAATTGGCAGGAGGTTCTCCAACAAGTTGGTAACTCCAAACCGGCTTCCACTTTCATAGCGGTTAAAAACTTCAATTAAGAAAGGAAATACTGAAGTTTTGGTTCGACAACTTCCGTAACTTAACCAATGAAGTATTTTTCTCACTTTTGAAAAGTAATCCTATGATATAACTTATAAGCTTTATGAGAAATAATGACACTGACCCAAAAGTATTGAAATAATAATTATTTCGGGAACTGTACAAATTTAGAATCTTGTTGACAAGAAGAACTCTATATTTCTGAAAAAGTGTGGTTATAAGTACTGTTAATCAGTACAAGGGATTCCTATTTCCTAGTGCAGTAATGCATAATGAAGTTTTCTGAAAAGTTCTTCATAGGTTCGCACTAAACTAGTAACGTCTCCAATTAAAAATGAAATATAGGCACCCAATGGTCAATATAGTTGACATCTAGTCATTTTATTATATGAATTGCACCAAAACAGAGAAGTGCATAACTGGTGAGATATAATCATAAGCCTGCAGCAGATAAGTGATTAAATAAAAGGAAATTCCACCAATTTTCAGTGAACTGGGCATGACTGTAAGTGTACCAAGTCATTTAACAGTGGCCTCAACTTATTATACCAACATAACAAGCAGAATTGCAGTAGTATTTTTCACAGAAATCATTTAAAATTGCTTTCTTTTTCACCTATAATAAATAATTGTGGTAGTTTTTGTTTTTGTTTTTGTTTTTTTTTTTGTGTGAAAAAAAAAATAGAGGAGATTGGCTAAGCGCTAGGGCAGACCCACAACCTTGAGCTGGAAGGACTTACGCGTGGCACAATTGCAGTAGTTTTTTAACTGGAAGCTTCTAGACATTAAAACCTACCTGTTCCATCACTAGCTCACACTTATGACATTCATCAGTCTGTCATCTTCAACTACACAATCTCGAATTTCTTGGACAGGCAGGAACATCACCAACATCGGTTAGCACCCATGGGTCATTTAGTTCTTTCCCTGCATTGCCAGAACCATGTTTCAATGACTTCAATTCATGCACCATCACACGAAATTCTGAAAATTTTGAAAGAAAGAAAAAATCATCATCAGCAACAAGAAGCATGATATTTCTCCAATTCACTAGATTCCACATCTATCATGAATGTAAAAGGTGGCCATTAAACAACCTGACCACACGCATATGCAGACACTATGAGCTAAGAATATTTACAAATTTTCCCAGAAAGTGATGCCAAAATCCTGTGAGATACTTTAGAGAAAATCAGCAATGATACATATGGATAGCCAGGTTCTGTAAACTAAAACAGATATAATTTCCTTTCATGAATTTCGACTAATATTCACTTCCTAACTAACTGGAAACTGTATTTACAGATAAAAAATTGAATGTTTGATGAGAACCAAAGAGTTATGTCCAAGAGGAACACCCAAAATGCAGCAAAAACTTAAACGAAGGAAGTTAAAAAGTTAATAACCTCTCACATAATAAGGGTGTGCAGACCACCATTTTGGGTGTAGATAACGTGAATAAAACCCAAAGCACCCTCGTTTTTCTGATGACACAAAAATAGCAATGCATCTTGGCTTTTAATATATTCCCACCACCCCTATCAGGATACTTTATCAAGATTCTTTATGAGAATCAATCTGTTCGCTTAGAATCTATTGTTGCTGATATCCATGTAAAGATTATAGCTGCACGGCTCTACTATTCATAAAACAGAATTTTAAAAAAAAGACCCCATTGCAGCCGGTCGGCTATACCCTTTTTTACGTAAAAAAAATCTGGAGGCTATACTATTTAGGGAGTTTCACTAAAACACCCAAAATGGGGGTTGAAATTATAAAAAAACCCAAGCACTATTTAAATATATAAACACACCTAAAATCCATCATTACACACACTCAAAACCCATTTATAAACACACCCAAAAAGTTGACTTTGGGGTTTATTTTGGGTGTGTTTCTATATTTAAATAGTGCTTGGGTTTTTTTTATAAATATATGTCTAAGATTGAGTTTATTTATAAATTTGTACACTATTTATTCCGGCCAGCTCTTGAAACGGAGCATATTTGAACGGTATAGCAAAGAATTTTTTTTAACGTATAGCCGTTCGGCTATACCCGTTGAATGAGTTTCTCTTTTCTAATTACTTTAATTAGTAGTTATGACTAAAACTCAAAGCACCCTCGTTTTTTTGATGATACAAAAATAGCAAGGCATCTTTCTGTTTGAGTATGAATATGAGAAAGTATTCGACGTCAAATCTTTCCTCTGCTTTTTTGGTTGTAAACAAAAATTGGGGAAAAACAATTATAAATAATAAAAAATACATTATCTATGTAAAGCGTATAGCCGCACGGCTGTACTATTCATAAAAAAGAATTTCAAAAAGGACCCCGGTATAGCCGAACGGCTTTACTCTTGTTTATATATAAAGAAATAGGCGTATAGCCGCACGGCTAAATTATTTATTAAAAAAAACAAACAAACAAAAACGGGCTAGCGCTTGGAACGTGTTTTTGTGCACACAGTATAGCCGATCGGCTATACACTATAAGCAGAATTTTTTTAAAGTATAGTCGCACGGCCATACCAATTGAATTATGAGTTTCTCTTTTTTAATTACTTTAATTAGTAGTTATGTTTTAATTATTATTTACTTAGTGAATAATTAGTATTTCATTTTTAATTTTTTTTTCAATAAAATGTGAGTATTTTGTGTGTATTATTAAAATTTTTGTAAAAACAAGTGTACTAAATTTGAAAAATACGTATTTATGTGTACAATACAAGTATTACACTTGAAAATGTAAATCATTTATACAGGTAATAACTCTGAAAAAGTAGAAACTCAAAAGGGGATAATAGAGACTCGGATAATGGCTTAATAATAATGAATAATGCTCTAAACCACTCTAATCCATAAACAAAATTGGGGAAACACAATTATAAATTAAAAAAAAAATACATTATCTATGTAAAGAGTATAGCCGCACGGCCGTACTATTAATAGAAAAAGAATTTCAGAGGAAAGAAGGACCCCAGTAAAGCCGGCGGCTAAACTACTTATTTTTTTTTAAAAAAAACCCCCCCTGCCAGCACTTGACATAATGGTCAAGCTAATACTATAAAATTCCTGAACAAGGGTTTAAAACTATATCAATCCGATTTGAGACCCAACAGATGCAACCCGAAAACACACGCACACAGGAGAATGCACTGAAAATCTAGAGCGTTTGCAGCAAACTGTAGCATTCCATTTTGGCATACATTCCGAAATCCCCTCTCATAATCATTTTTTTAATAGTCTCATAATCATCCAAGTACCAAAAATTACAAAAACTGTCAATGATTAGGCCTACATGGTAAAAATGTCAACTCTATGGAAAAGCATACACAACCCATGAATGCAACTTGTCTGGCAGGCACTTGATACTCGGTTGCATCTTATATAGGCTTGATCTTGAAGTGGAGAGAGATGAGTGAGAACACAAAGCACTTCAGATCCTGCAATCAAATACAAGCATAATTGAGAAACAGTGTTCGGTTAAAAAAAAAACCCCATGCTGAGTCACTGACAGACATAAACAATAGAAATCAAGTCAAAATAAAACTCGTATAAGAGGGTAAAAAACTAGGATGTCTCAACTCAAAATGGAATACTTAAGTGGACAGACTAGCATAATTCGTTCTCTCTTTCTAAGACAAATAAGTGAAGAAGAATCCATTAATAGTAGAAACAAATTTCGACCAAAGAAGTTCACACCACAAAGCAATTTACACATTGAGTCAGAACACCAGCACTGACAAGAGCAAGCTAAAAACCATCGATCCCCATGCATACAGTATGAATCCAGAAAAGGAAAGGCAATCTTAATTCCATAAAATGAAAGTGTAAATCAACTAACCTGAACAAGATAATAAAAGATGCGAAGACCTTCAGGATCTTTACTGCTCTGGACATCAACAAGGGATCCAATCTTTGAAGTAGTAAAGGAGATATGCTCATTCCCCATTACAATTTCAAGCTCCTGCCGCCCAACACGGTCAGGTTCTGGCCAGTTGACATCATCTTCCTTCAAGATCTAAAGATAGGCAAAAATGTAACCAATTTAGGAAACCAGGACAACGACACTCCACTAACCAAGTTCTGGGAAGAATATATCAATCAATTTGCACGAAAAGTCAACATGAAGGGTAACAATCCTACAATTAGTTTAACCAGAGTCTGAGAAACAATTTTCATGGTGTAATTTCTTTTTAGTAAACACTTCCACTGTTCAGTAAAGATACAATTAATGGGCATTTGTTTTCCATCATTTCATAAGACATAGCTAATGCCACAGTGCCACCCAACTCTTTCAATTCTTATTGCTGAATTGGAAAGAAAAAGAACTTCCACCATTTAGAGGTGATTTGCTTGATCTTGATTCCCAAAATCCAAATGGTGTTAACTTTAACTAACACAAGAAGACAATTCAGATTGCTTGCAAGATTCCAGAGAAACCCAAACTACAGAAATGTTAATTCAATAAAATCAAATCACAACAGTCACAAACAACATCAGGAAACCAGAAGCTCGCAGTTATTAACTTAATACAATTGTTTTCCATAGTATCACCTGAAAACAGGAAACTTATGAAGTTTATTTTCTCTAATATTTGCCTCCTCTGTGTCAGCAACCAGACTATTTGTAAACAAACGGACTCTGAACTCTGAAGAACTATAGAGAAAATTTTCAATTAAAAGAATTGCATAGAAGGGTGATTAATCTATGTTTTGGTGCCTTTGGCTAGAGATAAAAGCTTTGCTTTTGAAGCAATGAGCATTCTTCAATACAGTTAAGGTTTCACCAGTCTACTTGTTTGGTACAAAAAGTAGAGGAGAATAAGACTTTCTGCTGCCCTATTTTAGATTTTTATGTATGCTTATAGTATAAATGGGATGTACCCCATGCCACCTTTTGAACATAACTCTCTTCCTTATCCAGACAAAATAAAAAATATGGTGAGAGGAGCAAAATCATATCTTATCTCATAACAATACAGAAAAGACATTCACAATCTCAAGAAGAAAGTTAAGCCTGGTGATAACTGTCCAATCATAAACATCCGTGCATGTCATGGTTCGGGAGCTCGACAGTCAGTTACAACTGAACAGTCGCAATTGTCCTTACTGTTTCCCTAATCTCAAGTTTTCCACTTTTCTCTCAACCTCCACGCAGGAAACCAGGAAACTTGAAAGAAAAATTAATACTGAAACCATAGATTAAATTACATCTATAAACAACTACTGATCCATTACTTACAAGAACCAAACACATAAATAACTCATTTTTTCTCAATCTCCTTGACTCCTCAACAACGAAATAGAAAATCCTAAGCCCTCAATTCCACGACTATAACAGTCATAAAATGAAATGCATGCATGTCTCTTACACAAGACAAATGAAAGCCCAGGTTACAAACTCAACCCATCTTATTCTCTTCGGCCTCAGTTCTCTGAGGAAATAGACATGAAAACCACAAAACCCTCCAACCCTAAAAGTCTCCTCAAGCTTACACTGAAACTCCACATCTTTTCCCTCCTCTAATTCTGAGAAAGCAAACACAGGAAATCCCACAAACCCAATTTCCACTCCAACCCATCAAAATTTCCCAGAACAAACACAAATTCACACAACTAAATTCCATTAAATAAATAAAATACACCCGGCCCCCTCAAAATTTCCCAAAACAAATACAAACCCACATGGTCAAATTCCAAAATATAAACACACCCTGGCTCATGGGGGTTGCCCTAGCAAAACCGGTTTGCAAGGGAAGGGTGCTTATGAGATCATATACTACTCCAAATTAGTGTTTCTTCTTTCCATGTAGGAAATTACGGACATTGTACAACCCCAAAAAAATCTCGCTAAACAAATACGAACCCTTTTTCAACAAATTAATTAACAAAATACCATAAACCCTAAAACCCAACAACAAAAACCAATAGAGAGAGAGAGAGAGAGATCATAAGTAATTAAAACAAAGAAATTAGGAGTTGCAGACCTCGCTCTCTGAAATGATACGACGACACTCTCTGACAACAGCAGGCGTGACATAGACCTCCTTGCGGATGATGGTGTCGTTCTTGTAGTTGGAGTTGTTGGCGTAGCGAAGCTTCCCGTCGGGTCGAAACTCGAACTCCAAGAACTCGTGCCCGAACTTACCCTTGTGCCCCACGTAGTACCTCAGGTAGAACTCGCTGTTCTCTTCCTCACCAGCCATCTCTCTGTCTCTGTTTTTTTTCTCTCTTGTTAGATGAAGGAAGAACGAGGAACGAGGAAAGGGTTTAGATTTAGGATTTTTAGCTAATAAAAAAGGGAGAGGTTGTGTTGGTTGAATATTGTGGATTGGGCTGGATCTAACTAGGAATGAATTTTTATAGGTCCAGCCCACAAAATTGATATGTCTCTTGTTGGGCTGGTTCTAATGGGGATGCAATTTATTGGGCTGGCTGGGTAGGTCATCAAATTTATTTATTTTTAATTTGGTAGAGGTTTTTTATTACAGAACATTCAAGAGGGTCGGGAAACTATCAGGTTGCATTCTTTTTTGTATTTTTTGTCATTTGTGATTCTCAAGGTTAATATACGTATTCACAAATAGTCCATTCCATTAGGCTCACTAATTTTTTTAACAATTTTAATTAATTTTTTTAAAAATGATTTTTCCATTTTGAAATTCTTTAATTCTTTAAACATTTAAATTTGCATAACATAATATTATTAGATTTGTGGGTTACATATAATGCCACATTAGCAAACTAACGGATTTTTTGACAAAACCTAACTGCATGGACGTTTTGTAACAACAATTCTTCGCGTGTGTGTTCTTTTTTCTCTTCTTAAATTCTAAGTCAAAAGGGAAAAAAGGAGAAATCTTGGACAAGATTATAGTTTGGTGGATAACTTGGATAAATGCTAGGTTTTTTAGAAAAGCACTCTTGTTCTCTTGTTTTATTCTCTTGAAATTCCATTAGTTTTTGGGTTAGGTTCTTTGGCCGGTTGATTAAGTCAAACGCGTTACTTAATTGGTGATGGATGCAAAGTGCTAAAGATTAAAACATACAATTAGAATAACAGAAACAAAAAGAACAACCAATTGTCGTCCATCTAGAATATGATATGATATTATAAACATAAAAAATCTAACATCTCTCATCTAACATCATACCAATTCAACACAATACAACATAACAAATGTCTGGTCAATTATTAGAAAGAAGAAAGAAAAAGATCAACCGCACTGCCTCCTCCCTAGCCCATGAATGCAACCAAGGTTGCCATCGCAAGTGGAACCCCAAGCATATTCATGCTAAGAGCTGCGGCTCCGGAAGGTGGCGGGGGTGGCGGCGACGAACCATTATTGCTGGCAGGAGTGGTGGACGGAGACGGAGTGGTGGTGGGTGGAGACGGGGTTGTAGCTGGTGGAGATGGAGTGGTGGGAGAAGTGGTAGGGGGGCTGCCAGCTGCCACAACAGTGACTGTAAGCTTCATGCCACTGGCACAGTGACCTGGAGTAGGGCAGATGAAATAGACTGGACCAGCTTGTGAGAGGGGGATTGATGTGTTCCCATCACTATGGGTTCCGATGGCATTGCTTGAACTGCAACTACTGTAGCCTGCTTGATTTACTTGATCCACTGAGTGGGAAGCACCATAGGTGAACACTGGTAAGATAAAAAATTTTGGTCAGTAGGTGTTACATCAAATTGACACACATATATATATGTAACATGTTTCATATTTCGCCAAGTACCCATACCCAAATTTTGATCGAAAGTAAACTAGAATTAAAACAACCACACCACTACGTTATGTGCCGTTAGATGAGTTTAATTTAATAATCTATTCACTCTCAGAATCCCAAAAATAAAACAAATATGGATTTTAATTTCAGTTGTATAGATCTGACTAACAGTGAGAAAGAAAGAGCTTACAAAGAGTGTCACCAACAGTGAAGGTTTTACTAGCAGCCCAAGTGACATAATCTACATTTGATTCCCAGCCATCTGTGTCACCAACAGTGTGCTGCACTCCATAAACTGCTGGGGCTGCAAGCAGCAAAATTACTAGAGCTGTTGCAATGGCCATGTCTCAAGTCTTCTCTGTGTTAGAGAGAGAGAGAGAGAGAGAGAGAGAGAGAGAGAGTTGAGGAGCTTTAAAAATGCAAACATGTCATATATAGACAGCTAGGTGAAGGTACAAGATGTTGTTCGTAATATACAATAAAAGGAAAGTCATTCACCTACCAAATAATACCTTTATTTGGTTCAAGTGCATACCATTTTCTTGCTGCCGAAACAATTATATAAAAGTTTAGTTGGTATGGGCTTAGTGGAGGTGTTGCACATTCAGAATCTTTCTTCTTCATTAAAAAGTTTACTTGTAAATTATTATAAAGCTAGACAGCCAAAAGCCCCATCTCTATCCAATCAAGCACAAGGTCAATATATATCTCCATCAATCCGGCCGAATTGACCAAACGGCCGATCTGAATTATAATGTCCAATTTGGTTGGGTTTTGGTAGTAAAAAGTCAAAACGGTTTACAACGGAACAAAATCATATATGTTTTGATTAGTTGCGAGGTTTAATAAACTGACGTAAATCGAATTGAACTGTCTTTTTTAGTATTTATTTTACATGTGCAATTCTCTCATTGAATAATATTTAGATAAGTATGTTAATTAATTTGAAGTTTAATGAAACTTTGAAAATTGATCCTTGAATTGTAACAATATTAGTTACTGACGTTTGAAGTTTCATGACACGTTGAATTTTAGGGTGGTTTGATGTGTTAGAAAATGAAAAATTATAGCAAGTTATGAATTTTTTTATGTTGTAATTGAGCTAACAAAGTTGAAAAATGTAAAAGAAAAAAGGATTGTACTTAGGCCAAACTTGCCGAACTAAATTGTCCAAAATTGGTTTGGTTTAGTTCAGGTTCCTTAGTGGTTTATGTCAAAACTAAAACAAACTAAACCATTTTATTATAATTAATTCAGTTATGATTTTATGGTAAAATCAATCCAATCCAGACCATACTCACCACCCCTACCTTTATACATGCAACATTTCACCACTTATAACTCTATTTTTATAATTTCTTTTGTATTGCCACCTAACACGAGATAAGGAACATCATTATCTAGAGATTAGGTAAACCTTGAACCCAGCACACCTCTTCAAATATAGAAAAAGGTATTTGTTATACTGGGAAAATGATTGTTGACTATGTAAAAACTAAAGGAAACCGATGGAGTTGTTAAAGCGTGCATTATTCTACTCATATAGCCATGTTCTTGTTTTATTTTTAATGACATAACTTTGAAGCCAAAAACTACATTCATAGATCATCCTTGCAAAAAAATTAGACAAATCAGAAACTGTTTCGATATCCAATTATGTCATACAAAATCAATGAATATAGTGGTTCAATAAAGTATTAAAATTTCAATAATTCAATTGAGTGGTCAAATGATATTAGATTCAAGTTATTTTTATGTAGAAATGATCTTTGAATGAGTATCTACAAAATAGACGGTTTGAATTAGTAAAATACAGGCCCTATAAGGATGTTCCTCAAATATACTTATTTCAGGAATCCTTCAATAAAAGATATATATATATATATATATATTATAAACATATATACAATGTACATATACAATGTGGAGACTCATTCACGTAAATCAACTAGCCATCGCAATTTCCTGCTATGTGTCATGATTTGAATAATTCTATCTTCTTATTGACCTTATTTCATAATCGCAATAGGCAAATTCCTAATGATTAAAACATTCTACGAGATTCAATTAATTTATAATTTTGTTGTTTATGAGGTGAGTATGATATAAGAGCAACTTCAGCGGCATGACAGAAGCTCGGGCTGGGAGAAAAAAAAAAGCCAAAATCTGTTTCCAGTGAGGAGCCCAAGCCCGGGCACAAGGTGGGACCCAGCAACTTGGGCTGGCTCGAGCTCCAGCCCTCGTTTTGGTGTTGACGTCAGCGCTACAGTACCATTATAGTGCTCACGTGCTACAGTACCGCTAAAGTCCACGTGTCGCGCTCTGGGCTCTCCAATCAAATTTTTTCTCCAATCCAACGGCAGCCAATTTTTGTGGAATAAAAAAATGAAAAAAATTCAATTTTTTTTTTTAAAATACCAAAAAATTACTGATTTTTTTTCCTTCTATAAATACCAAAATTTTATCCGATTGAGATATGAATTTTATAATAAATATTGATACATACGAACCCAAAAATCTTATCCGAAAATATTATCCAAATGAATTGTTTAGGTAAACAAGTTTGTGAAAAAAAACAAAAAAATGAATAGTAATTGCCTTTTGTCATGGCAACGGGTGGAAACACACAATACTATTTGCAAGGGCAACTACTATTCACATGAATAGTGACTGCTCTAGCTCCGCCCTTACCATAACAAGGGGCAAATAGGTGGAGTTGCTCTAATAGTTGAATTTTATTTTTCTTCTTTTGAAATAGTCGTTCTTATACCTCATAAGGGCTTATTGAATATTGCCCGGCGATACCCAAAGATGGGGACGGCAGCAAAGGAGCTAATTTATTTGTTGGCTAAATTGTAACCTTGGTTATTGAATTATATATCGATTTGCATTTTCGTCCATAAATTTTAATAATATTTAATGTCGTTCTTAAATTAGGCTTTGCGTACTTGCGATATGACTTGAAGGAGGGGCGGTAAGAGGGGGGCCTCGGTAAAATTTTTATTTGCCTTCTAAAAATATATAACTTACATGACATGTGACGTGAGTGTGTAAAACGAGACTTAATTTGGTTAATTCAGGGACGAAAATACAAATTGAGGTCAATTCAAAAGCTACTGTTACATTTGTTGCCAAAAAAAAAAAAAAATTATCTCAACTAAATAAGAGTAAGAAGATCTTATTAAAAAATAAAAAGGGTTAATTTTACTCTTCCAAATAAAATTAAAAAATTAATAACTTCAAAGAAATCCAAAAAAATCAAAGCTTTGGAATTTGGATGAAGAAATAGTCCGTTTGTCGTGCCAAACTCACCCAGTAGCAGTCCTAGTTTCTGTCTAACTCCAATCTGTATTTCTCCCAGGTAAACTCTCAACCGCCCAGTTTATTTGACATTTAGAAATGAATTTATGAATTTATTTTACTTTTTTTTTGTTGAGTTATTTGGTGGTTTCTGTTTGTATGATGTGATTGAATTGGGGTTTGGGTTTTTTCTTTTCTTCGTTTCTTGGCAGCCTTGGCCGCCTGAGATGGGTGCCTAACTTTTACTGTAAATAATGCTGATTGATTGGGAATCTTGAATTGGGTTTTCTCTGTTTCTTTTTTTAATATCAAAGTGTTTTGGAAATAATTAATATTCAAGACTTAGTCCATATATAATGCTATATTATATCAAAATTTAATCAGTAGGAAATGAAACTTTTCCCTTGGGATGTTGCTTTTTCTTAGTATATGGATGATGGTAGGGTAGATGAGCGACTCTGCAAATGTTTTTTTTTTCCCCTCATATATTTAGATGATATGATATGAATCATATGAGGACCTATATTTTAAAGCAAATTTAAAAAAATTGATAACATGCTAACGAAATGCATCCAATGTTTTGCAAGGTATCGATATGATACTCATTTTCATATTGGTATTTGCCTGGAGGATGGAGGAGGGATGCAAATATTCTGTACTTTCTGTAGAATCAAGATTCTGAATGATAGAAACCCAACCATTACTCTGTTTATTTGAATTTGAATGTGTACCCATGGGTTTACTTCAGCCTGCATCTAGCTAGTTCTGGTATAACATGATACTCCTTTTTTCCAATATGTAGGCTTTCAGTCAAACGGTTCATGTATTAAGCCTTTTTTTTCTTTTCAAATTAGGTTTGGTTTGTCTCATTGTTGTTTGGTATGTTTTGTTTGTATTATCTTTGTTTGCTTAAAACAAGCGTTAAATTGTTGTGGACTATTTGAGTGCTGTTTTGTTGTTGTGTTAATGTTATTTCTTAAATAGATGTCCATGGGGAGTCCATATTTAACTCCATCGTCATTAAGTGAAGATGGGGATATGAAGTTGGAGGAAAAAAAATACAGCATCAGCAGCATTCTTTCCATCCTTCGAAACGCTCAATCTCTCTAAATTTCCTAATTTGAGAGGATGGTGGAAGAAAATTGAGCAGCAACATCATCATCTATTAGTCTCATGATTTCCTCGTACCATTTACTTGTATATCAATGGCTAAGTTGACTTCCTTCCCATTATATCCACAATTTGAAGAACTATATCTAAAGAATGTCAATGAAATATCATTAAGACTATTAACTATGACAACTGAAAGGAAGTCTGGTAATCAAGAACATTTCTCTCCTTCTGATCAGTTGAAGTTCTGTCTCTTGAGGGGATCCAGGATTTAGAATCACTGCCCGAGAAGTGGCTGTGAGGCATCACTTATCTCGAGGATGTGTTTATCATGTACTGCCCTAAGCTAAGAATGTCCCTGATGCAACTTAGGCAACTTCTTAGCACAGTTGAAAGCTTCAGGATAGGTAGTTCTGAGGAACTTGATGTGTTCAATAATGTGGATCATGGGAGCATGTGGTGGAGATAACTTAACCTTTGCCGCCTACACATCCAAAATGTGTGGTGGAATGAATTGACAAAGAAACAGGGAAGGTTGGCCTAAAATTCCTCATTTCCCGAACTTAACACAGGGCCTGGATCCTTGCAAAACTGATTCAGAAACTGATTCATCTTCGACTTCCTGAGGTATGTGTATATGCTATACACTATCTGATGGAAATGCTTCATCTACAATCCTATACTGTTTTTTCTTCTTTTAGTCTTATCTTGTTCTTTAGGCTTCTGATAGTTAATGTTTCATGATTCATATGCAAAACTTAAATAAATAAAAATGACCCTTGGCATAATAGTTGTAGGTCGCTCAAATCTTGGAGACGGCATCTCTGCTGCAGGGCAGCAAGTGGTGGTGACCTGTTCCATGTTGTCTATTTTTGTTTCTGCCTGACTTTTATTTCGAAATTGATTTCTTCACATATTAAGGGAAGAAAAAGAAGAGATTGTGCTCCCCTCTATTTCTTTCTTTAATGTAGTGATTTACTTTCTATTTTTGGTGCATCTGAACTTGCTTTGATGATCAATTAATGTTTTTGATTACTTTTTTGATGATTGCATAACAGAAAGGAATCTGGCAGTAGGCGACGATGAAGTAGTAGTACAAACTTATGGAGGAACATCAACGTTGATGGAATGATGCTAGGTGGAAATTTGTTTACCAAATGACTCCTTGCGGGCACAACATCTGAGTAACAGCAGCTGCACACAGGCACTATACTTGCACACCAGAGGTTGCTCTTCATAATAGGCATAGCAATCTTTACACAAAGCATGAAGTGGAGAATCATATTTTGGAAACATTTTCTGGAACTATGGATAAGATCAAGATTAAGACAACGTTTTTAGTTAATTAGTTAAAGTAGTTATGATTCTGTTGAAAGTCGTTAACAGAGCAAGTCTTTAGACAAAGCTTGTGTTTTCTTAAAGGGTGCAGAGGCCATGTTTTTTTGGAACTTGTAACGAAGTTTTAATTCAGAGCTTTCTCTATTGTATTTCTTCTTCTTTAGCCATAAATGGCCTTTCTTCTTCTCTATAAGATTGTGAATTTCATGAACATGTTCAAGGATTGGTCTTAGACTGCTCAAATCCTGAAATCCGAAGTCGATTCCAGTACGATCTTACACTTCTCTGTTTATTGCTATAATTTCATCTGTCTTTCGACCTTAAATCAATTTGGGATGATCAGTCACATGTTGATGATGAAATTTCTCTGTAGTTTTAAATCCTGCATGCACAAGATCAAGGGTACAGGCTACAAACACAACAGGGACAATTTTTATTTATTTATTTGGTTCTGGCCATAAGTGAATTAAAATTGAATAAATAAATTACTTTTTTTAGAAAATGATGTCTGCCTCCCTTGCTCTGCCAATCTGCTGCAACTTGCCAAATTCAAAGGCACTTGCATCATTAATACAAACAAAATGCAGCGAAAAATGAAGATATAAGAACAAAAATGGCAGGTGGTCATCTGCAGGTTTTGTGCTGCAGCATGCATGCTCTCCAAAATCTCCTAACCTAGGACCTTGGCCTGGTCTGAAGCTTAACTTGTAAGTAGTCTCCGATTTTAAAGCCGACATAAATGGCCTTTCTTAAATTCTTACATACATATCCAAAGAATTGAACAACAAAATATATATATACATATATAATATAGTCGCCTAATAGGGTTTATTGCTGATCTTTCAGGCAACGCACAAACGCCAAATACTTTTTCTGCTTTTTTCTTTTTTCTATTCGAAGGAAGCTGATTGCATATCCATTGATCTTACGTTAGATATGTCAGAGTGAGGGATAGGTAGCTGGGAATATGGACATGGACACACGTGTGCCTCAACCTCCTCTAGCTTATGAAAAGTTTCTTTGAGGCATTTTATCAAACACTTTCCCACTTCCTTTAAAAGAAAATTTCAAAAGCACTTAGGTGAAATTGTGCATTCACTAATCCCTCCTATATAATTTGGTACTTAAAAATGAATATAGATTGGATACAAAAAAAATGAATATAGCTAACTTGAAATCAATTCAATATCATTTGCTGGTTTTCCCACATGCATGAAAGTATGAAACCACCGTAGCCAGCTGCTTTTACCCATCAAGGTTCCTTCAAACCTAATCAAATATAATTATTTCCAAAAATCATATTGTATGGCATGTGTGTGTATATGTATGTACACACACCATGCATGGAATGGAAGCAAAATCCATGATGGAAGTTTCTCCATATATATATATATAGATATAAGAACAGTTGAGCCATCCTTCGGATAAGAATGTTGGACATGCAAACAAAACCCCGTTGACCTAAAAACATACCCGCATTGCATTTGCCTTGGTGATCTTTGCAGCAACGTGACGAGCTATGGCTGGGCAAGCAAGTAAAAATGGAAAAGGAAAACCCCATGCTCATGTCTCTACATCTTGCTTGAACAAAATTGCTTGTCCAGATTAATTGGAATATATGCCAAATTAACATATACAGTTGAGGATGTTCCACAAAATTATCACATTTATTGATGCTAACCATATCTCTAATACAGGTTATTAAATCTGATACTAGATAACATATAATATTGTTTGACAACAGCGTTACCTACTGCATATCTAAGCATATGTATGTAAAAAATACTCATTTTTCAGACCGAAAAAATAAACTAATTTAATAAAATCCAAACTATCCCATCGTTAATGACATTGAAAAAGAAAATATTTTATATATATATATATATATATGTGTGTGTGTGTGTATAAATATATGACCATATGTACTACAACATGCGATATAACATTATTATTGTAAGCCTCTACATGTTACGTGCGAGATAGTCAAATTCGGTTAAGAAAGCTGTTAACATTATTATATTCATTAGGCTTTTTTCTCCCTTGTGTTTTGCAAGGTTTGTCTCATTCCTACTTGTTCTTAGGTCTTTATACTGACCTTTTTAGTTGGATCTTTGTAGATTTGTGCATATTTATCTTTTTTGGCATCTGTTGTGGTGTCATTTGCAGTTTTGGGGTTGATGATGTGGATCTCCATTAGATCTTCGTGTTGAGGGATGGAGGTGTTGATTTTGTGGATCTACTATCAATTGGTGCTTTGGGTTTAAGGGTATTTGGGAGACACTATGACCATGTGTCCTGGTGGAAGTTGAGCGGAATTTGCTTTTCTACTGATAGGTGTTTCCTATCTTCAACTCCCAAACTCGTAAAGAATTTCTCATCTCTCATATGATCTTCTTTCAGCACCCGATTTTTTTAACAAAGAGAGAAAAAACGAAAAACGAAATAGTTATTGAACAAATGCTTGAATTTAATTACCTCATGAAATCATAATGAATTGTGACTGAAAAGTGATCTAATTCATACTAAAAGCATAACAATTTTGTTCAAGTACATGCCCATTGATGAGGCAAACTATATCATGGCTAGACATATTCCTACCCATAGAATGAAAAAAATAATAATAATAATAATAATAAATTACTGCATTGTGATTTTTGAAATCCGGAGGCTATTGCAGTAATTTGGTCAAATGATAGGTTAACTGCGTCGCAATATAATACGGTAGAAACAGACATTTCCTTTCTCTTTCTTCTTAAAACCTCTCTGACGTTACAAAACAGCCCTCTCATCTGGCACGTGAAATACACTCCCTCCACCTCCTCCCACCCACCTGCATAAAATTTAGCAGCTCACTTTCCTCTCCATTTTTCCAGCAAATTATTTGCAAAACATAAAAAAATAAAAACAAAGACAAAGATAAACAAGATTTAACTTGTGGGTCCCTTTCAAGCAGAAATTTAGCACCGCTTTGATGGGCTGCCTTGTATCAAATCAACCCAAAATTTTGCACCACTTGGTTCCAAATGCTTCCCTCACTCAAGCTGCGTTTATTTATGTACCCCAAAAAACAAAGCACTTTCGTGTTACTATTATTCCATACAAACTTCCCCAATACATTGCAACTGTTCAAAAAAGCAAAAAACATTTTTAGTATGAATAATGCTACTCTTACAACATTTGTATATGACATTCTCATACCACCTTATGTGGCATATGAAGTGGACAGCCACATCAATTAAAATTAATTTAACATTTTCTTTTCTTTTATGATTTATTGACACTTTTTAAGTGATGTGGCTATCCACTTCATATGCGACATAAGATGATGTGAGAATGTGGTAAGAGTAGCATTACTATTTAAGTTCACCTTATAAATATAGCACCCATATCACAGATATAGTATACACATAGCAGAAGCCTCTCCCTCTCTCTCTCAAAAATTGAAGACAGAAAATATGGAAAGCCACCTTGTGGGAAAGAGCTCATCATCAAAAGCAGAAACAAAAGCTTCATTTACAAGTGCACTCACTCTTACCAAATTGGGGGTGCCTCATGTGCCTCAACGCTATGTTCTTCCTCCTTCACAACGCCCAAACCCTTCTTCCTCTAGGCTCTCTACCACTCTTCCCATTGTTGACCTCTCCTCCTTGCAAAGCCCTTCTTTTAGGCCTCAAATCATCAACAATATTCGGATGGCTTCTAAGGAAATTGGCTTCTTTCAGGTACATATATTGTTAGCTACATGTATAGGGAATTGTTATTTTGATTTCAAAATTAGAATTTTTAGTTAGTATTACATCTATTGATTGTTGCATCTCATGTATGTGAAGGTGGCTGACAAAATTTCACTAATTATTGGCTTTAAATGTAATCTCGTTTCTAATTACGTTGCGATTGTTTGTTTTTGTTTTACGTTGCATGCATACACGATTGCAATTACTATTATTATTAAAATTCGAAGATCGCTATTTGTGCGTTGTTCTCCAATTCCCTCTTTGCGCTCCAATCCAGGAGTGCTTTTACACTCACGCGCGCTTAGAGCGTGTAAGTTTAACACGGGAGCGCGAGTAGCGCCTCCCTCATGATTACTTACCAAACCTATTAAACTCTTGTGTTAACGGTTATCCTCTTTCAGGTGGTTAACCATGGAATCCCGTCTTCGGTCATGGAAGATGCCCTAAGTGCTGCAAACGAGTTCTTCAACCTGCCTCTTGAGGAAAAGATGCTTCTGGGTTCGGATAGCGTTCATGCACCTGTAAGGTACGGGACAAGTATGAATCATGTTGTGGATAGGGTTCACTTTTGGAGAGACTTCATTAAGCACTACTCCCATCCTATTTCAAAATGGATCCATCTTTGGCCATCAAATCCTTCTTGTTACAAGTAAGTTAACCAAACATTCTTTTCGAAACTCTATTGAATATTCTTGCCACATTTGGAGGCAACCTAGCTAAATTAAGTTAAAGTCTAAACGTCTGCAAATTTCTCTGACAGAGAGAAGATGGGAAACTATGCCAAGGCTGTGCAAGTGCTACAAGAGCAAATAATGGAGCTTGTCTTAGAGAGCTTGGGGCTAAACCCTAAGTACTTAAAAGAAGAAGTTGAAAGTGGGTCCCAACTAGTGGCTGTGAATTGCTACCCTGCATGTCCAGAACCAGAGCTTGCCTTAGGAATGCCTCCCCATTCAGACTATGGCTCCATAACCATCCTGCTTCAGAGTTGTCCAGGGCTTCAGGTCAAGGACCAGAACAGCAACTGGCAATCGGTCCCGGCCATCGAAGGAGCTCTCTTGGTTCAGCTGGGAGACCAAATGGAGGTTCTGAGCAATGGACATTACAAAAGTGTTCTTCACAGAGCAACAGTTAGCGCTGAGAAAAGTAGGCTTTCCATTGCCAGTCTCCACAGTCTATCTTTGGACAAGAAAGTAGGGCCTGCACCAATGCTTGTGGACAAACAACATCCACAGTCTTACAAAGAGTTCAGCTTCAGCGACTTTCTGGATTTTATCACAAACAATGATATAGTTCAGGGAAGGTTTATCGATACACTCAAACAGAATTAAAATCCATCAAGTAGCTAGAGTTTTATGTTTTTTTTTATTAATGTAGTTTTGTTTAGGAATCAACGTCAAGTTTGTGCTTTAATTTTAAATAAACATATTAATTTAAGCATAAATCTTTCTTATTTGTTCATCTATCTACCTATCATTATTATTAGTTCTAGAACTCAATTTCCTGCAATTAATTGCTCTTGATTTGAAAATATCCAATATTGTAATAGTAAATTAATTAATTTCAT